TTAATGGTAATTTATTATGTTCTATTGTATTTCAATGTATTTTATTGTGTTGTAAGCCGCCCCAAGGCTTCGGCAAGGGGCGGCATAGAAATGTAATAATAATAATAATAATAATAATAATAATAATAATGATAATGATAATAATAATAATAATATACCCTGAATGAGCACCAGTTCCTGAGTTCCCTCCCACTCTTTCCCTTCCCCTAGGAATTTTGAATCTTTGTAATCTACTCTGAGAGCCTTTTTGGCTGAAAAACAAACTTAAAATACTGTAAATAAACAGAAATAAATAAATTTTTAAAAATATCAGAAATAAATAAAATACCATTTTTCTAAGCATTTTCCTTGTATAATTATAGACAGAATATTAAAAGAATATATAGTTGGGGATATATGCACCTATACCGGTATTATGTACCCAGCCACTCCATTTCATATTTTGATGAACAGTCAAACTTAGAGCAGTATAATGGAGTTATACTGTTTAGTTAAATTGTTTTATTGTGAAAAATGAGATATTGCCAGTATTTCATAGTTTATTATTTTTATTAGTAATGATTACATTTATACCACACTTTTGCAAGGAATCCAAAGTAGTCTACATGGTCCCCCTCCTTTCCACTGAACCCTCAGAACAAACCTATGAGGCACGTTAGGCTGACAGTCAATGACTCACCCAAAGCTTCAGAGGCAAGAGGAGATAGAATCTGGGTCTCCAACTTCCACTTCAGCACTCTAATAATTGTGTCACAGTGGCTCACCTCTTACACTGCAGAAAATGCTTTCTATTAATAAGTTAATAGTCCAAACCAGCCATCCACTGCAGTAATATCTTGTGATCTCCCTCTGCATCATAAATGATATTAGGTTCTTAATTTTTTTAAAGCATTCTAATACTGAGTTAAGTCTCATGCTTCCTGGGTGAAAATGTCTGTTTGCTAGAGAACATTATCTACATTATCTATTTCCAAAAACAAAATCATAGCATGGTAGTTTGTACAATGTATAGGATCAGGTTTTATAACCTGATTCCTATATAATGTTCTCTGAAATCCTTGGAATGTTTTACTCTAAAAGTTATATTCGGACCCATAATATAAGTGCATTAAATGAATATTTCTGCTGCAACTATCAACTTTGAAAAGTTAAATAATCTTCTAGGGGAGCAGATATTATTAGGTTTCAAAATTAGCATCCTACTGAGATAGATCAAGGAATTTCACATAATGTTTCATAGCTGCGGTTTCTTTTGATCTGACTACAGTTGCAAAACATAACAATGCTTTCACCAAGAAAACAATACTTTTTGTTTGAACTTCATGGAGCTTCCTTTGATGGCAGAAGGTGGAAAACAGAGATGGTATATAAGCAGCAAGATGTGCAGAAAATGCATGTTTGTTTGGCTCCCTTTTACCCCAGTTCTTCTGCTTTCTTTGGAAAAACTGATGATAGTAAAAGAGTAATTCCCATTCATTCTGTATCTTCTATCCAAAATATAACAGTATATTTAATTACAGGAGGGTATGTTATAGCTTTACTGTATATTACAGATCTTGTCCTAGGCTCTTATTTTAAATACGTTTACTATGAAACAGAGCTTGACTTGGATGGAGCTGAGATATTTGTAACTGAAGAATTCTGCATGTAATGTATTTTGCTAGAGTAAACATCTTCAAAGACCAGCAATTAGTTATCAATTGATTAAATAGTTCATTAAACCAGTCTTGTGTGCTCAAGATCAGAGTTTGAGTGGGGTACTGCCCAGGAGTCTAAATAAAGCACAGAAGGGCATTTCTCATGTTCAGGCTGCTGAGCTAACTGGCCTAAAGGTTCTGAGTTAAAAAGCCAGGAGTGTTCAGGTAAGGAATCAAATCACAGACAGCAATGAAGTCAGATCAGCAGGCCGTTTACATCCAGCAGCTCACCACAGGAATGAGATTCAATATTAGTGTAAAAGAGACAGACAGTTTTACAAGCATTTTTCTTCTTCCTTTGGGCTTGCTTTTTACATTAGAAATTCAAATCAGTCTCTGTGAAAGTTAAAGTTCAACAGCACTCCTGCAATTTCACTATTAGGACAAAACACTGAAGGGCAATGCAAGGCCCATGGGCTGCTTGTGGTCCCCTTCTTTTTTGCCCCCGTCATCAGTGAATTGCTATTATTGCACCACTGAATTGCTGCTGGATGTTGGCAGCATGCAGCGGTGCAAAAACGTCACCCTTACCCTTTAAAACATGGCATACAAGCAGTGAACCGCTTGGTTTAACCTAAAATCATGCTCCCCCAGGACTTCTGGGAGCGTGATTTTGCATCCAAACAGAGGTTTTCCACATGAAAATACAGGTTTGGAATTGCTGCTGGAATTTGGCAGCAATTGCAAGAGAGAAGAATTCTTGGGTTTTAGGAAGCAGAAATTAACCTCTGGACCCTCAGATGCACCCATCTAAGAAAGAACTCCAGTGTGTACAGCTATGGGAAAATGTAAGGGAAACCTGTCAACATGGTTCATTTCTGGAAGTATGAATACAGCCACTTTCACAGACAAATCTACTCTCAGAAGACAACTGCAGGTATTCTGACCTGCCAAGCTAGATAATCTTAGCGGAGGTTGGAAATGGAGAATTCTGATAGGTCTCTGCATAGATTCCCTTGTCACTTTCTGTGCTGTCTGCTGGTGCCCAACCTTCTTCTATGTACAGCTCTTGACCTTGTTATGCCCTGCAGTGACCATCATTTCCTTTCTCACTTTACCTTTTTGTTTTGTGGAGCAGTGTTGGCCTCTTTGCTCCATTCAGTTATGACACTGAGGGCCAGACTAGACATACCTTGTGTTTATTATGCAGGCCTTTCTGTCTGTCTGTCTGTCTGTCTGTCTGTCTCTTTCCTTCTTTCTTTTTAAGAAAATAGAATCAGCTGTCAAGAGCTGATAATTAATGGGATCAAAGGAGCCATGTTAAAGATATGAACCCTTGTCTTGCCTTCTGTGATGCTGAAGCAAATGTATCCTTTGATGCTCGTATTTATACCGGTGTGTGGGATCTCCCATTGGTGTCAATGGGCCCAAGAAGTAAGCTAGACTCATGTATTTTCCCCCTGATTTATTTTTCTTTAACAAACAGCCAACAAAGAGATAGATGGAGAATGTGCCTTGCCAGGGGGATGCTTTCATCCTTTGTCCCAGCATCAGATCTGATTACAAATGCCCGATCCTGGAGTAATTATTTCCAATGGGAAGAAAGCTCTCATGAGCACCTCTGAAATTGCTCCTCTCATTGGAAATAGGAGGGGGTAGGTATTTTAAAAATAGAATAGGTTAGGAATTGTGGTGTGCATTAAATAATTGAGAAACACTGTAATAGTATGAAATGGATGGGATTACATTTGGTGCCTTCCAATTTCTTAATCATGTGATAAAAAAATATGGCATCAGGGCCAATGTTTTGCATTTCATAGTTAGACAAAATAATCTGTTTAATAGAAAGACAAGAGGAAACAAAATGAATGTCTTAGCATTTGTATTTGGTATTTTATTTTGTAGTTCTCTGTATATGTAACAAATCCTGGTGTTCAAGTTTTATTTAATGTTGGTTTTATTTGAGAAATTCACATTTCTTTCAGACATTTGTCATCATAGAATGTAACTGTAATAAAGTCCACTGTTGGACTATATTCTGAGGTGGGAAGTCATTGTAAGAAATATGAATAACCAATTTATTCAAGAAATGAAAACAAAGATGGCTTTGAAATGGCCATTAGAAAATCTCTTTAAATTATCTAGTTGTTTAAATGTACATAAATGTGAGCTTGTGTATGTGGAGCAGCTCTGCATTTTCTGTGTGTCACTGTTTAAACGACAAAGCCAATTTAGAACTCAGAGTAAATAGTGATGCAGCTAATTATCTACCAATAATCCTTCTGCCTCAAAAAGTTACTGCATTTTCCTGGCAAGCCTGCAGGGAAGAGGTGGTTCTTTGCTGGGCTTTAAGGATAAATCTTCAGGCATCACTGGAAAAATGTGCTATCAGATTTCATAACTAATAAATTGTGTTCCCCTCTCTCATTGCATTGGCAATGTGTTCAAGTACCAAAATCATGATAGAAATTGTTTTGTTTTTACTTTTCATATATGAGGATTTGTGTCTTGCTTGTTTTCCAGTAAAAAATACATAGCACATTTTTAATGTAAAAATCTTTTACATTAGTTAGGTTACATTATTGAAAATAATATGGGGAGGGGGGATCTGACCTGAAGATCTTTTCAAACTTTTTCAGCCATTATGTTCCAACTTCACATAAGTGGTGTTGAAAATAAAACCATGAAATCAACACAGGCAAACATTTGCAGGGACTTCATGTTTGTCATACTCAGATTCAGTTTGGTAATTGTTCTGTTCTCATTACTAACCTGGGAATTGAGGACTACATCTTCACAACAATTGAGCTTGTTAATTACACCACAAGACCTTAATCTGATAGCTATTAACAATCCAAAAATGGTGAAGTCTGAAACACTGTATCCCCTTCCAAGGGCAATAATGGCAGAACTCAACTCCACAACTTTTGGTCTCTTAAATACTCAATTTTAGAGCTGTTACTTCTTCCTTTCTTTAAATATAACATTAATTGCTAAGGTCAGTCATTTCTCATTCAAAATAATGTATTAGTACTTGCATGAAACATTCATTTACACAGGTATTAATTGCTACACGGAAGAAGTATTCATATGTACGAGGAAAGAACAATGAATATAGCTTATGTGGAACAGCAAAATTTCTTACTCAATGTAAGAACTTGTAATAGAGAAAGTGCTGAATTGGTACCAACACTAATAACTGCACTGAAACACTTCAGTAAATATTCCTTCTTGAAATGTAAAGAGAAGCATTTTCTAGTATGGTTCATATTCTGTGGTTTGGCAATGTCTTGAGCACACAAACCTTACAGTAAAGCATTAGAAATAATATTAACTAAAATAATGGATACTAAGGCTTCTGACCTTTTCGGAGAAATAAACAGGGAGCTTCTTGAAAGATATGAATCTCCAATTCATGCAATTCTTTATAATATCAATATTCTTTTCCTATAATTTTAAAATTATTATATATGATTATAAAGTGAAACATGGTAATATTTTAATGAAAAGAGAATTTTACAGAACAAAAAGTGAATGCAATATATGGCATCGTTTCTTATTATTCAGATTGGTTTCATCTATGTAAAACATAGGCAATAAAAATATAGCCAGCCATTACTACCATCACTTTCTTTGTTTTCATTTCTTATTATGATAGAAAAATGTTTCCCCTCTTCTTGCTGGAGAAAAGCAAACTTTACTCTCAAGTCATTTTACTGTTTCTGTTAACAGAGTTGTCATCTAACATCAGTATTAATATTACATTGCATTTATATCTTGCCTTAGTTCAATTCCACATAGAAAGAATGGGAGGCAAATTCATTTAGTTCACAATTTAATGTGAACTTACCTACATTTGCCCTTTTAAACCACTTTGTGAACCAAATCTCAGTTATCCTTCAAAATTTGCAGTCCCCAAATTTGTCAATGAAGTTCTCCAGTCAAGAAATATATATAAAATGCATATTTTGCTGAAAATTAACATTCAGAAATGTCTTGTATTAATATAATTGCTTGTAAAATGTATCCAATAGGGAAAATGTATACAAATATGCTTGCATTGGGAAATATGCACAAAATTGCTTATGACTTTTCATGAAAACTTTAACAGAATACACAGGACTGCAGAAATTCTTAAATTTTGAGACAAACTGAATTTCAGATTGGAAAAGGGGGAAATGATAGAAATCAAACTGGTAGATTTCTCCATTCCTAGAAAAGATATCCAACTGGCCTATTAGTCACTGGCGATCCTCCAGGTGAAAAGGATCTTCGTAACAACAGCCACCAATACAAGGAGGGTGGTGATTTATCATTGGTTACAATTAGTTGGAGCTTATTAATCAAATACATCCCTGTCACAGATCCAACTGAATTTGGTTTCTTGTAGTCATGGTCCTATGAAGCCACTAATATTTGAACTAGCTAAACTGTCTCATACAAAATTATTCCATTTGATTTTAGGCATTGTTTAATTACTCCCATAGTCTTTTATAGACCAGGCATTAAGGTACCGTGCAATAAACTCACACCCACTCAGAAGCAACTCATTGTATTTGCCACAATTAGAGGAAACCACATAGATTGATACGAAAGAAATCAATAAGTCTTAACATTTCTTTTCTTAAAAAATCAATCATTATTTTTAAGCCTTAAGTAAGTCCAAGAAAAAGAAAAGGAATAACAAGATCTGAGCATAAATCTTGCCCTAAATCTGTAATTCTTAGAGGCTATTTCCTGGCAATAAATGCTAAATTGTAAATATAGCTCTGTGTGCATGTCAAAAAGACAGGCAGAAATATATAGCAACTCATTTTCAGTCTCTTCCTCAGGTCATTAAAAATAAGGGAAAAAATCACACAAACTGCTTTTCTCTTTTTTTTTCTTCTCTCTTATAGGGTTTTGCTCACAGGACATCAAACTTTCTTAATTATATTTGGCAAAGTATTCATTTTAAAGTATTTAAAGTATGTTTCTGAAAAACTGCATTCTCCACCAGTATAATTTTGTCTGTTACATTTTCTGGGAATGATGAGTAAGTGTAATAAAGGAAGGATAGGTATGGTAGTTAAGGAAGACAAAAGCAGTATCAGATGAAACTATTAGTAATTGAAACAAATTAACTGCAAATAAGTGTAATAGGACTGGGATCAGACATGCCATGCCTGCTGCTCCAGTACATACTTAGAGAAGAAACTAGCAAGGCAACCAACCAATGTATTAAAAAAAAACACCTTGTGTTAAAATAAATTTCTTCTTGGAGGCTGGGGTCACTTTGAGTGAAGTGAAAGTATTCACCTGCCAACATCTTTGTTCCTAGTGAACACTTCTGTGCCTCCTGTTGTGGGCTGACAAATGGGTGGAGGCAGCTTACGTCGCTTAGAAAAGCAGCAGAGGGCAGTATGGGAAGTTGAGAAGGCAGCAGGGAGTCAGGTGGGGCTTTTTTGGGCATCATGGTAGGTTTCTGAATAGCCATGTTTCTGTGGCAGAGATCCTGTGATGGTACCAACAATACTTCCTTATAAACCAAAGGCCATTCATTCATAAAGTAGCCATAAGATGAAGACAGACGGATAATACATCACAACGACCATCCCCAGTCCTCCAAAAAACCTGTTTTGGGCCACTTTATTCTTTAGTGTTTAATTTAAAAAAAAAAAACAGGAATTATATGTAAGGTAGCTCTCTTTTCTCATTTTCTCTGCTTTCAATAGATCTAACAGAATCCAACACATTAATCAGCATCCCAAAGACTTGGTTGCAAGCTTAAAAGAACAGAACATTCTTTGGGGGGGAATAAAGTGATGCCTAGCAAAATTTGTCCACAAAAGCTCAAATATTTGTCACAATGGCAAAGAACTGTTGGTTTTGTGTACAGATCATGCTTATGTGATACAAAGCAAGAGAGTTCTACTGTGAAAAAGTCAGCATATACAATGGAGCTTTGATACTGTGAAATTTTCTACACAAGTATTATGGTATTTATTAATTGGATTACTGTATTTTATTGTATGTGTTCTTATTATGTGTTTAATATTAATTATGTTATTTTTGGTTTTGTAAACCACCAAATAAATAAATAAATCATGTGCTTGCAATTCCCCACAGAGTTGTGTACAAGCTCTTCAGACATTGTCATTGTGCTCCAGTTTTTGTATGTTTGTTTGCAGAGCACTTTTCCTGTTTTTCCTAGAAAATGGGGTATTAAAACTTTCAGGAAATGGCACTGTTTCTTCATGTGTACTTTTGCTGTTCCACTATAGCATAGCTCCACCTAAATGTTACGCAACAGAAAAGCAGGAAACTAAAACTAAAGGAAACAAAAAGCTACTTCATTTAGAACCCTCTGATTGACAAAGAGATACTTTCATTCATGTCAAGATGGGGTCACAAGAAAAGCCTGAGGATAACCTGGGGTCAGGAGTGAAGAGCCTCAAAGCAACTTTTGTAGCGAGAGGACCACTCTGCATAATCTGTGAATGTTAATCCAGCAGTTTAGAAAGGGCGTGATCCCTCCCACACATAAGTAGCATTGGAGAGCCCTCTCATATAGCTCCAAAGGGCTGCAGAGGAAAGGTTTGCTAAGAGGCTTCTGGGTTTAGGGTTTCCTAAATAATTGAAGGGTTTCCTATGAGGTCTGCCCAAAGCTACTGGAAAAGCCTCACTGATTCCCTCTGTCTAGCTGTGGTCCTTTTCTTGACAATATCCACCAAGCAACCGAGTTTTAACTTTTTGTGTAATTAATTTCTAAACAATATGGTTTGTTCCTTTTTATTGTGGGTTATTGATTTTTAATTTGAAAACAAAGTCATAACTAGAACAAAGTAGAAAAAAGGTAAAAAACCTGCAATTTTCTTACATAAAACTTAAGTTAATGTATTACAATGAAGCCATATAAACCCCTATATATTTTATATGTATGAAGACATACTAGTATTTTTAACATAATTATGCATATGCTTCAACAAAGTGACCCCAAATACACATTTATTTGTCCATTTGTGAATTGTAACTAAAAACCACCTATTCAAAAGTCCAAAGTTTGGTTAGACCCTCCATTAATTTTATTACTTCAAGTGGTTGCTGATGCTTCCATTGTTGTAACATTCGTTCTTTAGCTGTCAAAAGGACAAAGAGGATCCATTTATAAGGACCTTACGTTGAATTCCCAGTACTGGGTGGATCGTGACTATTCATAAATACTAACGACCGTTCCTTCAGAAAATATATCTGAACTATTACCTCCTCCCAAAAGAAAGCAGTTATTATGCACTGCCAAAACATATGAGCAAGAAAAGCTTTAGCTGTATTGAATCTTCAACAATTAGCTAATTTTATTAGGCCCTTGTTGAAAACAATATGGTGTCCAATATCCACAAAGCATCAGTTGTTGCTGAATTAAACATAGCTTGTTACTCCTTCTGAAAGAGATGCCAACAGACTATACACTGATTGGACAAAAGAGGATGACTTAATTCATTATTCCATTCTCACCTGAGACTCAGTGCATCATATTTATTTACTAATAATACATATTTATAAACATGAGTTTTGAACTGCTGTACTATTCACACATGTTCAGCACTCCCAGTAACAAACCAAGTTCTAAAGCCGTGAAAACAGCAGGACTGAACCTTGATTCTAACAAATGTTTCAGTTGCATATATTGCCATTCATTCATATGTAACATGCAAGACATGGAATGGCGAGAAGTTTTCACTGGGAAGTATAAGCTGATTTAAAATGGTAAAAATCAGCCTTTCTCTCCATGTCTGCTAGACAAACGTTTCTCCACAAGGTTAATTTTGCATGCAAACGTGATCAAACTTCAACTGACAGGAAAGTAGGTGCCACACCTCTCTTACTGCCATAACTGTGGGAGGCACCTTATCTGTTTTGGTGTGCCAAGAACCCCATGCAGTCCATTTGGGATGATGATCTTAACAGGCAGATTCCAAAGCTGATCAGACAGAAAGTCTGATCTGAGCAGAAAATACCAAAATATTGTACAAGTCAACAGGTAAGACCAATAACTTATTGTTTGGAGTTTTTTAATTCCTATGATGATCCATTCTGCCATGTATATCTTTGAAAAGGATATAGTTTTTCATTATTGATTTGCCTCACTGATCTTTCTTTCTAATGCAGATGCAGTGCTCCTATGGTTTTTAGTTTCCTCTACCTTCATTTATAGCATTTCAGTACTGTCATTTGACAAGATACCAATTTCGTATATAATTAATATGTTCATGTGAAAAATACCAAGGCATTTGAGTAGGCAACAAACTAAACATGAGTCAGCTGTGCAATCCATTGGCTAGACTAGTGTAAGTGAAGGTTGCATTAGCAGAAGCACAGTGTCATGATTATGAGAAGTAATAGTATTTTATGAGAAGTAACAGCATTTTGATCTACTTTGCTCAGGTGTCAGCTGGAATTCTGGGTCC